CGACCCAGGGGTCAGATCTGCACGGGTCAGGCACCATCCTCTGCCCCCCCACCCCGCACACAGCAGGTGTTCCCACGCATCAGACCCACTCACCCACTCAGAGAGGCCCCTAGCTGGCTGGCAGGACTCTCCGCAGGGCTTGCTGCTCTCTGCAGCCCGCCTCCCTTTCCCTAACAGCCCAGCCCCTTCCCCCCCCCCCCCCCCCCCCCCCCCCTGTCATGCCTTTTTCTACCCAATATGTCCTGAACTTAGTCGCTATTTTTTCCTTCCATATTGGGTTAGTCTTGTATGCGCTATCATTTCCTTTAAATTTGGTAATTGCAATAGTTCATAACCGTTTTCCCTTCTCCCAAGTTTGACCCTTTACAGTCAAAAAAATTTTTTTCTGAGAGGTTTTTGCTGTAGGGCACATGTGCTTGCCAGAAAGACAGAGAAAGACAGACAGAAAGTGAGAAATCACCCCCTAAGGGGGATGGCCGTGACACAATCCCTTCTCCTCTCTTCTCTCCGGATCCTGAGCACACACGCAAACACGCCCAGCATGAGTTTAAGCCACTGGGTCTGGGACTCAAACCACAGTCGACTACATGAGAATCCAGAAACACAGACATTATGCCAATTGCTGGTCCCGACAATCAAACCCCCCGCCCCACATGCAAAGATGCAAGGCCCCTGCCTGCTGCGGCCGCACTTCGCTCACACAGTCTGTGCGGGCGTGCCGTGATTCAGCCTCGGGCAGCACGGGCTTGAGGGAGCCCAGCACCACCCGGAGCGCTTGTCAAGGAGCCTGGCTTCTCCCCACAGTCTGCACTCTTGGTCCCAAAGCAACCTGAGGAAGCCGTGGAGTACAATACCAGTGGCGGTGCCAAGGAGGGTGTCAGGGAGCCAGGAGCACAGTCTGGAGGAAGCTCAGTTCAGGCCAGTCGAGGTAGGAAGGCTCGGTCCCTCGGCCGTGGGTGCTCAGGCACCATGGCACTGTCACGGGGAGGCCGGGCTGAGCTTGGGCTTCAGGGAGAAGCCAGATGAGCCTCCACCAGGGAGGCCGTTAGGCTGTGGGCAGGCTGGGCTGGGGGGTTTGGCAGGAATCTCCGAGGCGAAAGGATGGACCGCAGCATGTGGAGGGATTTCGGGCTGTGAACGGCAGACCCCCAGAGTGGGAGTGGGGTACGCACAGAAGAGCGGACGGTTGCTACCGAGACCGGGGTCCCCCAGAGCCTCCCGAGGAGGTGGCTGTGTCGGCTGTACCGTGTGGGAGTATCTGCACTGGCAGGTCCCCAGGCCTGTGTGGCAGACACTGTAAATGCCGGCCGGTCAGAGCCAGCTTGGTTCTGGAGGTGCTCCTCACTACCAGAGGCTGCTCACACTCCCTGCCACACGGCCCAGCCATCTTCAAAGCCAGCAGCAGGGTAGGCCTCACACACTGCCCCTGCCCAGCTGTCTGCCTCGTCTCTGACCCGTATGCCCAGGCTGAAAGGCCGTCCTGGTTAGCTCAGGGCTCCCCCACAGATGCTTCTCCTCCCTCACTGTCTCTCCCTTCCTCCGGTTAGTGCACCTGCCTTTGGGCAAAAAAAAAAAAAAAAAAAAAAAAAAGGAGGGAAAGAAG